ATTAGAAAGTAGGAACAACAAACTTGCTTCATAAAGTTATTAGTGTCTATAAATCTGAATAGGCATGCATTTATTAAGCCCCCTGGGTGTTGGCATCGTACCTGCCGAACACCTAAGGTAGTAAAACTAACATTTTTGTGCCTTTTTAGAGCCTTTCAGAAGATGCTCACATCACACAATAACTGCAGAGGTGAAGAGAGAAAGAAATCGTCAGCTTTTCTCTGCTTTTGCATCTCCTTCCTTAACTCCTGGAAATCACGAACATTTGTCCAGCGAACCTCAGCAGTTATTTATTGAAGCTTCTCATTACCATAATGAGCTGGCCCCGAACTTTGTCTAGGAATGTCTCATCTCTTTGGTGGAGGCTCCCGGATTGGCTGGAATCTGAACATGCGCAGAAGCTCAGCGAACCCAGGGCGGGACGGTGCGCTCGCGGGCACCGCCTCCCTTCCCCTGACAACGGGAAGCGGGTGAGCGTCAAGACGCCTGCGCAAACGTGGCCGGGGCGCCGGGGTGGTGGGTTACGCTTGGAGAGCGCATGGGCAGACAAACTGTACGTCCGTTTGTCCGGAGCGGAGGGGAGAGTGGGCGCCATCTTCTTCTAGGCTCACTGAGGGCTCCACCTGTACTGGGCTAGCTGCTGCGACGAGGAGTGTCCCCCGCCCCCGGCCTTGTGTGTCCGACTCGGCAGCAGTGGTGTGTGTTTATTGCCAAGTGCGAAGCAGTTACCCTTGGGGCGTCGGGGTGGGGAGGGGTTGGCGATGGGGACGGAAGAACAGGGAAAGGCGGGGCCGGCAGCCGCGCCAGGAGCTAGCGTAGCTTCTGCCGTTAGGGCACCCTCTTTCCTTGCTAAACACCGACTTTCCCGTCAGCCTCCATGTGGTGTGGTGTGTGCGCTGCCCAGTTTTCTTAAGAGTGAAGATCTCGAAGGATTTCATAGGTATTTTTTTTCTTTGCTATGTCATCGTAGTCAGTAGTGGCAGAAAAGCGTTGAAGGCCTGGCTCGTTAGGCATGAGAGTGGCCAAAGTGTTTGAATTAGGTATGGGGCAGTTCACCCTGTGGCGAGTTAGGGTGGAATGTTTGCCCTTGGGACGGCGTGACGGAAAGGCACGGAGGTTGGGCGGTCCAGGTTAATTTGAAGGCTGATTTTGGCTGAAGGTCTGGCGACAGCATCGGATCCCACGTAGCAACTTTGGCCTGGCGCGAAAGAAGGAAGCTCTGACCCCTGGGAGTATGGACAAAGGCTTTGGGCTATAGAAGCAATGCCTTCGGATGATCCCCATTTGAGGATGATGGATGTTATGGGAAATCCTGTGCCGAGTGGATTCGTCTTCATTTACAGTTCCTTAAGGACTACGGCTCTGTGTCGTCATGGCTTTGGTTTTTATTTTAACCATCTACATTATAAAAGGATAAAAGGCAGATCTTCATAAAGAATAATTGTGGACTGGGCTAGATTATTTTCTGCAGGGGAAACTCCTGCATTTAGAATTTCGTCATAACTTTGGGTTTTAAGGAATAGTCATTTTCTTTCCCCCACTGTATCTGGAAAGTGACTTGTTATTCGCTAGTTAAAATCAGATGGATCTGAGATAATACCTATTTAAATTTTAGTTTCTGGTTTCCCTATCAGGCTTGATTAGAAGATGCACATTTCGTATTGTTTAGTGATAATGGTGATCAAGTGGGTTGAATCCTGGATAAAATCAAAATTATTTAAAATGAACTTATTAATTTCATTGACTTGCCCTTAAAAGAGCTTTTAAGGACTCACTTCCATCTTTTCATAGGTTAGAAGTTCTAACAGATCAGGGTTTTTAAATCAACACAGTCACAAAAATACTTGTGTTGCATTCATAAGTAGAAAAAATTTTAAGTACAGTGTACTTTAGGGTATTTTGTGTATTTTGATTTTTGTGTAATGTTCTAAGAGTAGAATTTCTGGGGAGTTTGCTTAAGGAAATAACATGGGAACCACAGAAAAAGTGCTCATTTTGAGAACTGGTCTCTTATAGGTGGTTTCCCAGGTATGTCATTGTTGAGAGATAAAATGGTACATTTCCCTACCATCTAAAGGGCAGAAAAGTTAAGTGTTAGTTATATGTGGCAAATTAGAAAAAAATAATCATATATTGTCTGTTTGAATTGGAATTCATGAGATTTATACTCATGGAGCTATTTAAAATGCTGTTTGTAAGCAAGGGAGAATAAGAAATTTTTTAAATTTGACATATTATTCCTCGAAACATCCCTAAGTATCTTGTAGATATATTTATGTTCTTAGGGTAAATCCCTTTTAAAGAAAAAGTTTTAGAAGAGACAAAATTGCATGTATCTTTCTAAAATATTTTAAAAGTAAAGGAGCTAACTCAATTTGCATAGGAAGGAATCTTGAAACTTTAGTGGGGACTATTCCAGAAGCCATTTATAGTTTTTTAAATGTTGGTGTGGATATTGGTTTGTTGAAGGAACCAGGCTTGTACTTATTTTTTATTTTTGGTACTGTGCGGATTTTAATAGACCATTTTATTAGAGCAGTTTTTTAGGTTTACAGCAGTAAGGAGCAGAAGATACAGAGATTTCCCATATACCCCTGCCCCCACACATGTACCATGTAAATATTTTAATAATAAATGTCATTAATATTTTCAGTATCAGTGTGGCATTGATAATTCAGATGTAGAATATGCCAAGTAATTTCTTGATATCTTGGTTAGTTTAGCTTGTAGTTTAAAAAGTTTAATCAGTGGACCATTTTCAAAGGAAAATAAACCTTGCAGACATCAAAGAATATGTCTTTTTTTTTTTAAGATTTTATTTATTTATTTGACAGCGAGAGCAGGAACACAAATGGGGAGTGGGGGAGGGAGAAGCAGGCTCCCTGCTGAGCAGGGAGCCTGATGCGGGGCTGGATCCCAGGACCCTGGGATCATGACCTGAGCCAAAGGCAGATGCTTAAGGACTGAGCCACCCAGGCGCCCCAAAGAATATGTCTTTAGACCACACTTTGTGGAAGAGTGGTACTTAAGTGTAAATACTGAATTAAAGCAACATTTATTGGCACATTAAAAACAAATTTATAATTATTAATTTAACAACTCTTAAAAACTTATTCAGGAAGACTACATTAAATATTGTTACTTTGGGTATCTGAAAATATTAGATATAAATTTCCTTAAGGAAATACTAAGTTAAGATTTTTCAGCAGTTAATACTGATAATCCCTAAACATTCTAAATAAATGTGCTTTTGTTCTATTTTCTACATGTCATTTGGGTTTTCTCAATGCAGCACAGTTTGAAACGGAATAAACTTGTTAGCATAATAAGATTTTCTCTTTGGCTTAAGATGAATTTTAATAGTAATTGTTTTCGGAGTTTAAGATAAGGAGTAGTAGTTGAGATTTTTTTTTTTATTTTAGAGGTATTTTATTTTTTTAAAGATTTTTATTTATTTGAGAGAGAGCAGCGGGGAGAGGCAGAGGGAGAGAGAATCCAAGCAGACTGTGTGCTGAGCATAGAGCCCAAAGAGGGGCTTGATATCATGACCTGAGCCGAAACCAAGAGTTAGATGCTTAACCGACTGAACCACCCAGGCTCCCCAGTTTTAGGGGTATTTTAGTATTTGCCTTAATTATATTAGAATCAGGAAACTTGGTTCCATGTTTGGAAGTGTGAGCTGTATGTGTAGAACTTAAAATTGTATCCAAAGGGTAGCCATTGGTTTGGATTTATTCAAAACATTAGTGTCTTGTTCATTTATTGTATCATTTTGAATCATTGCCTTATTAATTTGATTTGGTCTTTTGTTTTAAAAGGGAGGAAAATTTCAAGAGAGTTGGACTTAATGAGCTAGGTGTTTGGTCTTTTCATGAGTGGAAGTGATAGGCTTTTGGGGAATTTTTGATGTTTTTAAATTGTCATTTTACTTGTAAAACAGTTGTCTTTTTTTTTTTTAAGTGGATGTAAAATTTATATACAGTGAAATGCAGAGACCTTAAGGATAGTATTCATTTAGTCTTAGTAAGTTTATACACCCATATAACCAACACTGTAATCAAAATGTGTAACATTTCTATCACCCTATTCCTCGTGCCACTTCCAATCAAGGAGCTGTTTAATTTCCAGTTTTTTGTTTTAAAATAATTTGCAGATGTCTACTTGGAATTTGTACTTCGTTTTTGCTGAAGGATGTTTAATTTCCCCTTGGAACAAAGAAGACCATTTTGTAATGCCCATAGTTGTGGTTCCTATATTGCTTCACTTTTAATAGGTAATTCTGAAGTGAATATCCTAATCTGGCGTTGTTTAAGATCAATTACAGGGTCCGAGGATTAATTATATTTCATTTTCTTTCCACAGTTAAGTTGCTTTTACAGAATTAACAGGTCTCCAAGAAATTTTAAAAAGGTAAGATATCCAGAGCTTAAGGCTTGACAAAAAAAATGTAAAATAGAATAGGACATGTAGGTACACATGGTTTCTGTACTTTACCTCTGGCCAGTGATGCACTAGTGGTAGACAGTTTATTATCATAAGCAAAAATTATATACTGACCATAGATGGCTTTTCAAATATGTAAAACTCATTGTGGTTGGTAAAATTCTTTAACCCACAAAGCTCTCTCTCATGTTTCAGTAGAAGATACGTTTCTAAGTGAGTCTGAAAATAGTTTGGTCTTGTTGTGAAGCAGTGCTTGGCAGACTTACAAAGAAGATTTGATATTTTTGATGCTCATATTGTATAGGATAGGTGATATGAAATATTTTTTTGAAATGGTTTATTTGTATGTTTAGATGGGAGAAGGTTTATTCTTTAAGAAATTAGATACAGTCAATATTTTTTGTGAACTCAAACTTGTTTTCATTTATAAATGCTGAAGAAGGTAGGAACCAAGTAATTATTAAGTTTAGTTTGGGATAAGGTACTTCAAAAATAAGACTTGCTATTATGTGTACCTTTCTGTCTGCAGGTCATTATTGCTGTGGTTTGAGCTCAGCATGGCTGTAGTCATCCGTTTACTGGGGCTTCCTTTTATTGCGGGGCCTGTGGATATTCGTCACTTCTTCACGGGATTGACTATTCCTGATGGAGGAGTGCATATAATTGGAGGGGAAATTGGGGAGGCTTTTATTATTTTTGCAACAGATGAAGATGCAAGACGTGCCATAAGTCGTTCAGGAGGGTTTATCAAGGATTCATCTGTAGAGCTCTTTCTTAGTAGTAAGGCAGAAATGCAGAAGACTATAGAAATGAGAAGAACTGATCGCATAGGAAGAGAGCGACCAGGATCTGGGGCGTCAGGGGCTGGCAGCTTGTCTAACTTTGTTGAGGCTATTAAAGAAGAAGCAAGTAATTCTGGATATGGCTCTCCAATTAATCAAGATGCTGGGTTTCATACTAATGGTACAGGACATGGTGATTTAAGGCCAAGAAAGACACGGCCATTGAAGGCAGAGAATCCTTACTTGTTTCTGCGAGGTTTGCCTTACTTAGTAAATGAAGATGATGTACGTGTCTTTTTCTCTGGTTTGTGTGTGGATGGCGTAATTTTCTTGAAACATCACGATGGCCGAAATAATGGTGATGCCATAGTAAAATTTGCTTCATGTATTGATGCTTCAGGAGGTCTTAAATGTCATAGAAGTTTTATGGGTTCAAGATTCATAGAAGTAATGCAAGGCTCAGAACAGCAGTGGATTGAGTTTGGTGGTAATGCAATTAAGGAGGTTGACATTCCTATGAGAACTGAAGAACATTCTCCACCAAGAGGAATTAATGATCGACATTTTCGAAAACGATCTCATTCAAAATCTCCCAGAAGAACACGTTCTCGTTCTCCTCTTGGATTTTATGTTCATTTAAAAAATCTGTCCTTAAGTATTAATAAGAGAGATTTAAGAAATTTCTTTAGAGATACTGATCTGACTAATGAACAGATTAGATTTTTATATAAAGATGAAAGAAGAACAAGATACGCCTTTGTGATGTTCAAAACTCTGAAAGACTATAACACCGCTCTGGGTTTACATAAGACAGTTTTACAGTATCGTCCAGTTCATATTGATCCTGTTTCTAGAAAACAAATGCTGAAGTTCATTGAATGTTATGAAAAGAAAAGACCAGTGTCAATAGAGAAAGAGAGGCTTGGACATATTTCACAAAAATACTCTCAAGAAAGCTACCCTGGCCAGAAACTGTGTATATATATAAGAAATTTTCCTTTTGATGTTACAAAAGTTGAAGTGCAAAAGTTCTTTGCGGACTTCTCTCTTGCAGAGGATGACATTTACTTACTTTATGATGACAAAGGAGTTGGTCTGGGAGAAGCATTGGTGAAATTCAAAACAGAAGAACAGGCCGCGAAAGCTGAACGTTTAAACCGACGGAGATTCTTGGGGACAGAGGTATTGTTAAGACTCATATCTGAGGCACAAATGCAGGAGTTTGGTGTAAATTTTTCCTTGATGCCCACTGAGAGAATGCAAGACCATTCACAGTCATGTGATAGAGATGACCATTCCCATTCATTTGACTCAAGTGATCCACCAATATACTCAGTTGGCCCATCTGAAAACTTTAGGCATCAGCAAGAGGACTTGAGGCAACTGGATAATTTCAAGCAAACCCAGGCGGATTTCCGACAGCTTGATAGGAGCCTTCCAGAAGACTTTAGGCATTCCCCAGAGGACTTCAGGCGCTCCCCAGAAGACTTTAGGCGCCCTCGGGAGGAACACTTCAGGCGGCCTCTTGAGGAGGATTTCAGGCGTCCTTGGGAGGAGGATTTCAGGTACCCTCGGGAGGACTTAAGGTACCCTCGGGAGGAGGACTGGAGGCGGCCACTCGAGGAGGATTTCAGACGGCCTCCCAAGGAGGACTTCAGGCGACCCCCCGAGGAGGACTGGAGGCGACCCCCCGAGGAGGACTGGAGGAGGCCCCCGGAGGGAGACTTTAGGCGGCCACCTGAGGAGGATTGGAGGCGGCCTCCTGAGGACGACTTCAGGCGGCTTCCCCAAGGGGAATGGAGACGACCACCTGAGGAGGACTTCAGGCGACCACCCGAGGAGGACTTCAGGCGACCTCCCGAGGAGGACTTCAGGCGGCCTCCTGAGGAGGATTTCAGGCGACTTCCGGAGGAAGACTTCAGGCGACCTCCCGAGGAGGATTTCAGGCGTTCTCCTGAAGAGGATTTCAGGCGTTCTCCTGAGGAGGATTTCAGGCGACCGCCCCCAGAACACTTCAGGCGGCCACCCCCGGAGCACCTCAGGCGGCCGCCCCCGGAGCATTTCAGGCGGCCGCCCCAGGAACACTTCAGGCGGCCGCCTCAGGAGCACTTTCGCCGGCCGCCCCAGGAGCACTTCCGCCGGCCGCCCCAGGAGCATTTCCGGCGGCCACCCCAGGAACATTTCAGGCGCCCCCGAGAGGAAGATTTTAGGCACCCACCGGATGAAGAATTCAGAGGCCCTCCTGATGAAGACTTTAGGCATCCTCCTGACGAGGACTTCAGGAGCCCCCAGGAGGAAGATTTTAGATGCCCTTCTGATGAGGACTTCAGGCGGCTCCCGGAGGAAGACCTCAGGGAACCTCCAGAGGAGGACCCTAGACTTCCTGACAGTTTTAGACCTCCTGCTGAGGAGTTTAGGAACCCACCTGATGACTTCAGAAGTCATCGCCCTTTTGTGAATTTTGGTCGCCCAGAAGGTGGCAAATTTGATTTTGGAAAGCGCAGTATGGGAAGTTTTCCTGAGGGGAGATTTATGCCTGACCCAAAATTAAATTGTAGTTCAGGTAGAGTAACACCTATTAAGATAATGAATCTTCCATTTAAAGCTAATGTTAATGAAATTCTAGACTTTTTCCATGGCTATAGAATCATACCTGATTCAGTTTCAATACAGTATAATGAACAAGGATTACCTACAGGGGAAGCCATTGTTGCTATGATAAACTATAATGAAGCTATGGCTGCTATTAAAGATCTAAATGATAGGCCAGTTGGCCCTCGCAAAGTTAAGTTACTGTTGCTCTAGAGAGCATTTCTAAATTCATTTATGTCCCCACAGTATTGATGCAGTAAAATGCATTTGTTTTTAAGTGTTTATTTTTAATGATCTAATGAAAAACATTTTAATTTGACTTGTGAATAGAACAAATGTAAATATTAGAATGTGCATCTGGTTTTCTTTTGCTTGCAAATGCATTCAGTTTTTTCTAATTTAAAATTATATATGCCCCCCCTTTTTTTTTTGGGACAGTGGGGGAGAAAATTCCCAGTGCATTTTTGTTGATGTCATGGGTAAACCTCAAGACTTGTATAGTAGAGCTGTATTTGGGGAAGATAAATTTTATATTCACTTTTGTTTCCAGTCTGTAGTCTACATCTTATACTGTATAAGGAAATGGTCAGTGACTTATTGTTCAGGTTTAGCATTTTTATTGCTAACTGCCTGCAGAATTAATGCCCTCTTCTTTGTCTGAGATATTACTGTGTTATAAGTCTCCCGTTAATTATAAATAGTTCAAAATAGACAGACTGTGAATTTGAAGTTTACTTATGTAAAAAGCTTAGGAGATTCTTGAAGTTTCCATGTTCGTAACTGCAAAGTTTTATAAAAATAAAAAAATTGCAACTGAATAGACCAACTAGTTAACTTGTATTTGTATAAAAAGAAAAAAGAATTACAGCTTCTTCTGTGAAGTTTTCAACAGCTACCTTAGTATTTATGATAGGACGGACCAAACATCCTATAATAGTAGCATAGAGAACTATGTTTAGTTCTATGGTTTCCTCCACATTTCATCAACCAAACTGATAAAATTAACTCAAAATACTTAAAAGTTACTAAAAAGTAACGATAGCTACAAAGGACATTCAGGCTTCTGCTGGGAAGAATCTGATATATGGATATACTTTGTTTTTAGGAAGAATTTAGTGATGATTCATTTAACTTGTAGTTTTTATTAGGTTCTCATTTTTAAATTTCAAGACTTTGTATCCAAAGATTCTAACTAAATATAATCAGACTTCTATGTGATTGAATTTTGACTTCTTTGATATATTTAGTGTGGGCATTTTGTAAACACTGGATTTGATTTTTTTAATACCCATAATAATATTAATGGCTAACATTTATTGGGCACTTACTGTGTGCTAGGCAGTAAAAGTGATTTACATGCATAATCTCAATTTAAATATTCTTTAAGAAGTATGGAATATTATGTCTCTTTCAACAAGTGAGATAATGAAGTTTAGAGGTTCGGTAACTTGCCTAAAGTCATAGCTTGTAAATCATGGAGAGTTTCAACCTAGACAGACCACTGACTCCAGTTGATGCTCTTAGCACTTTTGCCTACTAACTTTGTGAAGTGGTACTTCTGATTTTAGTAAGATCATGCTAAAAATACTTTGAAATATTTTCTTTACACATTGCTGCTTTAAAAATAGCATTAAAAATAAAATTAGTATGCTCATTGTTCATAAAAGACAAATTAACTTTAAAAGTTTTTATATATCCAGGGCTTCTCTTGGATAATAACATTATAAATTGACTTCTAATTTAAAGTTGTTTATCAAATATGATTTGACTTTGGTTGGCCTTTAAGTTTACATAAAACCAGGTTAATTTTTCTCAATTCTGTGATCCAGGTTTCCTATATTGAGCAAATAAGAATAAAATTTGAATTTATATATGGTCGTTCAGTCATTTAATAATAGGATATTGCAGAAGTAGAATACTTTGTCAGTATTTAGCCATTTACTACCATTTTGGATGAATCTTCAGTGATTTAAGACCTCTAAGAGAAACCAACTCAAGTTTCTGTGTGTTTAATTATAGTGAATATAATTGCTAAAGCTGGTAATTTGGTTTGAAAAAGCACATCAATATGGCTCTTTAAACTAGTAAGCTTATTAATAGCCAGGAGAATGATAAATTAATAACCAAACTAAACAAGATGAACAAAATAGGGAGAAATGATATTTGAATGCTCAAAAGATTATTTAGATGGTTCATTCGATCAGTCTTCTTGAGGAATGTATGGAAGACTTTAAAACACTTCTCAAATGGGAAGCGGTAAGAGCTAAGATGAAGCCTAAAGGTGAAATACCACATAATGTGGAACTTTTTCTCAGAATGGACTGGGGTATGATGGTGGTAGTAAATAAGAGATCAACAATAGTAAACACAAGCTTTGTATTTTGATTGTAAAATTAATGAATTGATAGGAATAGATAACTTTACTCCATAATCCTTTATTTTTTAACTTTTAAAAATAAAAGTTAAATAATAGAAAACTGGCTTCTACTGAATAGAACCATTTTTGCACATTTTTCCCAACTCTGCTTTCAGTGGTATATTGATAAATTGGCCATGGTAGGAGTTCTTATGCCATGGAAGTTGACAAATGCAACATAACAGGGCATTTTCCATGTTGGAGAGCCAGTTAACCAAGCACAACACCAATTTCAAACACACACGGTCTTATACACCCATCAATATAGTTGATCTTGAATGACCTGGGTTTGAACTGCCAGTGTCCACTTACATGAATTTTTTCCATAAATACAGTACACTATTTTCTCTTTGATTTTAACAATATTTTGTTTCTCTAGCTGACTTTATTGTAAGAATACAATATATAATGCATATACAAAATACATGATTGTTATTGGTAAGGCTTTTGATCAACAGTAGGCTATTAAGTTTGGGGGGAATCAAAATTTATGCAGATTTCAACTGCACAGAGGTCAGCACCCCTGACCCTGACATAGTTCAAGGGTCAACTATATCACCCAGTTTTGCCTCCTCTCTCCTACTCCCAGATATATCAGGTACACTAGGAGCATAATGGTTCTCTAGTTTAATACCCAGTGGCATTTTAATTATCTTAAAGCCAAACATTTTTGTCAGAGGTATCCGAAAAATATAGTTCATGTCTAGAAAGTAAAAATAGTCCCATAAACCAAGAGGTAGTTAAGAATCATTATATTGGGAGTACACTTTTATCACTTAGAATAAGCAGTGGCTAGAGCAGTGGCTCTTGGTTCACCTATCACCTATTAAGCAGTGACCCCATTACCTCCATCTTTGTATTAAATGTTATTACTTAGCTGCATTAGATACTATATATTTATGATCTATAATTATGAATTGACTATATCATTCTCAATAAACCTAATAAACCTATTTTGGAGATAAGAAATGCAGGGCTGTAGGCTAAGTAACTGGTCAGGTTACCTTTTTTTTTTTTTTACAAGGAAGCTGAAAGAGGTTTTTACATTTTTAAAGATGGTTACATTTTTATGTGTATGTGCCTGAGTAAAGTGATAGAAGTTTATTAAGTGAAGATACAGAAAAAGCTCTCAAGAATGAGAGGGGTCCCAACAGGGTTGCTGATGAGGGTCTTTAGGGTTGGTCTTTATAGAAAGCTAACCAGGGAACTTAAATCCTTTTAACATCTCTATTGATAACACCTTCAAGGGCTTACTTCCTTTTTAGGTCTCGGTTATTCTTTGTTGGTCACAGGTGATTATCATAAAGACACCCACCCCACATGACCCAGCTCCACCCCACCCCACCTGCCTAGGGCATAAAGGTGGTTACATTTTAAATTATTTTTTTTTAAGATTTTATTTATTTGACAGAGAGCGACACAGCGAGAGAGGGAACACAAGCAGGGGAGTGGGAGAGGGAGAAGCTGGCCTCCTGCGGAGCAGGGAGCCCCGTGCGGGGCTCAATCCCAGGACCCTGGGATCATGACCTGAGCTGTACCTACGTTAATAGCCTTTATTTCGTTTCTCAGCCCACAAATTATAAAAATACTTACTCTAGTCCTTTAAGTTTGCCAACCTAAGTCTGGTCTAAAAGAAACTTAATTTTACATTGCTTAAAATATTATGTATAGTAATCCTTTTGTCTTTTTTTTTTTTTTAAGATTTTATTTGAGAGACAGCACCAGCAGGGAGGAAGGGCGGAGGGAGAGGGAGAAGCAGACTCCCTGCCGTGCAAGGAGCCCGATGTGGGACTCGATCCCAGGACCCTGGGATCATGACCTGAGCCTAAGGCAGATGCTTAACCGACTGAGCCACCCAGGCGCCCTAGAATATTTAAGTAGGAAGAGCATTCATTTTATATCAGAACTATTTGCTGACTGCTTTATATATCAGGCGCTGTTTTAACTTTATAGATAGGGCAACTAATGCACAAGAGAAGTGAGTTGCTATCATAAACAGGAGAAATACTGTTTCTTTTTTTCCTCCCAGCTACAACACCACAGTTAAGTACCGAAAAATAAAAATGCAATACTTTCAGTGTCTTAATTCATTTAGGGTTCTAAAACATTTTGAATATTTTATTTATAAAGTACTGAAGTAATTTTATCACTTAGGACTATTCTCAGGAAGCAATGTTTTGTTAACAGAACCATGAATAACAAAGTCAAAAAGCTTTCTAGAAAGTCTTTGTCTGTTATGAGTAATTGTTTTTTTGTGGTTATCTCAAATGATTTTATAAATTTCATAATGTTTATATGCCTGACTGGTATCCATGAAATATCAAAAGTTCAATCCCCATCCAAAGAAACAAATGGACGTACTGAAAGGCTCTGATTAAATTGATTATTTTCAGGAATAAAAGTAACTATAACTTCTTTCATTAATTAGATGGTGGTTTGGTAAAATTTTTATACTTTTAATGGTTTTTGGTTTTCCATGATGTTTTCTTAGGCAACATTCCACCAAATTACAGCTTTCCAAAAGTTGTAGTTTCGTGTATAATTCCTTAGTATGATAATCATTTTCATTTTAAAACCAGAATCAGGCTGAATGTAGCTTGCTTTTTGAATCTAAAATTTATGCTAAATTTTAATCTAAAATTTAAGACACTGATACCTTAGTGTCCCATTACCTTTAAACAGAAGTAATAACAGTCTTGTTGAAATGTAAATTATCAAACAACGAAACTTAAGGTTGTAGTAAAAGTGAAAAAAAGGAAAGGAAAAAAAAACCCTTGTCTTTTTTATTAAGGCTTTATGGAATAGAATTTGTATTTAATCAGAATGACTAAAGACCCTTTTTTGGCAATGAAAGCAAAAAAAGCAAGTCAAATTGTTATTAGATCTCTTGTTTTTTTGTCATCTACTTATACTGCAACCACAACTATATATAGGGCATTAATATGAAATACTTTTGAAATACATAATTTTTTTTTAAATGGAACCTATACAAAAATCACATACTGTTGGATAGGATGTTGAAATGACTGGTGTGTAATATTTTTTAAAACCTTCATTTTTGGTCAGCACAAATTTCCTTTAATTTTCATTTCCAGTAGGATTTCATTTTGAGGTTTAACATGTATGAAGCCAGTATAAAGTTTTACAGTGTAGTAATTCTGGATTCCAAGTCATTTAAGATGAAAACTGAAAGGTGAAGTTTACTTAAGAAAATTAATTTTCTTCTTCTGTAACATCTAAGTCTTCATCCTCTTCATCTTCTGCCTGTTGATCCTTTCTTAGTCGACAGGTAGATACCTGTTAGAAGTTAACACATTAAAAAATGTATTAACTTAAAATATTTTTACATGCTTGGTATCTTTTTAATAAGCTCTTACAGAGAAGGGCACATAGAACATGTATTTCAGGAAGATAATTTCTAGTAATGAAACTTCCCTACGAATTATTGTATTCTAAGGCTGAAAACAGTCACAGTTTTTTCATTCATTTATCATGTTATTTTTGAGCAAAAATAATGAAACTAACCATTAGATTCCAGTTGGATACCAGCACTTTAATAACATAAAATACTTCAGAGAAAAGGTACAGATTCAGGATATTATGGCAAATATATTTTAGGTTAAATAGTTCTTGGGTCACAAAAATAGGCATTTCAATGAGAATCCTCAAAGGGATACCAAAAACTCCCAAGAATATTTCAGCTAGGCAGCTGAAATATTAAAATTTAATACTATGATTTAAATGGAATGAGTTGAGAATCTGAATTCACTACTTGGCTTTAAGTCCTGACCATTGCCACTTGGGTCGTCTTGCTTCAAACCTTTCTTGAGGGCCATCTGGTAATGTCTGGAGACACTGTTGTCACATCTGGGGGGGTGTGTTTGTGTGTGTTACTGGCATCTTGTGGGTAGAGGCTAGTGAGGCTGCTGAACATGTTTAGAATACACAGGATACTACTCCCCATTCCCTTGCCAAATTATCTGGCTCAAAGTCAATAGTGTGGAGGTCAAGAAACCCCGGAATAATGTACTTTTAAAGTACTACACAGATGTTAGCTAATTTTGGTAACATTACTAGCTCAAAATAGAAACAAACTGTATGTACTATGATACTAGATATATGGAACTTAATGTGTAAGGCACTTTATGCTGGAATGATAAAAATGTAAGTTGGTTGGGGGAGAGAGGCATACATAGAGAGCAGTAAATAAATGAGTAGATAAATGCTTAGAGGAGAACCAAATGAAAATAGAAGGTATTGGGTCACATTTACCTAAAAGTTAAATTTTGAAAATATATTGCTCAATTTTGAATTCTGAATGCTAGGTATGAAAAAGGGTATAGATCTCTAGATCAGAAGTTGGCAAGCTATACCCCATTTTGCCTCCTATTTATGTAAATAAAGTTTTACTGTTAACAGCCAAATTGACTTGTTAATGTACTGTTTATGGCTGCCCTTACTTGGGACATAGACCATATGGCCCATTTTTTTCTATGGCCTCTTAGAGAGCAAGGTCGTTCACCCCTCCCAGTTTTAGACACCAGGTAACTCAGGTTTTCTGGGTGTGGAAGAAATGAGAAAATTGACTCTTACCTAAAGATATGTGCTTCTGTATCTAAGATAATGTTCAGCAAAAGATCTTTTTTAGGTATAATTTTCAATAAGTCGTGATAGTGGAATTTTTAAACCCTAAGAAGTTTGACTTCAGAATCTGTGCTCTTCATATTATACTGCAGAACAAATCTAGATTAGCATTCTCTTGTCCTTTCCACTTCTGCTCTCACACGTTCTGCTTGAGAGTATTATGGGCTATAGTATACAAGATAAAGAAACAAGAGAGCTGTGCCTAGTGTAATCTTCCATTACTTTATGTAAGAAGGTAAGAGGGTAAGTTATAATAAGTCAGGACTTAAGGGAAACATTTTTAGTACTGAACACCACCAATGGCAGCTGCTCAAATTCCTTTAAATTATGTATGGTTTCTAGCTTACCTGTCCTGTTCCAGATATACACTTAGCTGAGAGTGATCTCTGAAGAGGCGACTTTGAATTTGCTCTTACTATATCTAAACGGGATGCATAATCTGGTGGATACAGAGAATTTCGGAAAACCTGTTGGAATGATAAAGCAACATTATAAAGTAGATATCAAACCCTGGAAATCCAGAAAGCCATATTAAGTTCCTCTTAGTTAAGATTTTTTTTAAGCGACTTAACACATTTCCTCAGCAAAAGCTCATCCACCCACCCACTTCCACCTCCCAGGACAAAATTTCTATTACTGTTAATTTAAAAAAATTAAATACAAAATATATATTTTTAAACATTTTATTTATTTGAGAGAGTGCACACACAAGGGAGAGGCAGAGGGAGAGCGAGAATCCCGAGCAGGCTTCATGCCCAGCGAGGAGCCTACTTGGGGCCTGATCTCATGACCCTGAGATCATGACCTGAGCCGAAATCAGGAGTCAGACAACTGACTGAGGCACCCAGATGCCCCAATACAAACAGTATTTTAAGTTGTAAAGATGAAAGCTCAAAAGGTTATTTGAGCCAGGTAAGGTGACTATGGGTCCTCAAACCATCACGTGAGAGCTTTTGCTGAGGAAATGTGTAAGTCGCTACCCTCAAAGAGGATGCTTGCCAGTAGGGAGGCTGCAAGTCAGTCATACCTTTGATTCTTTGTCTTCTGCCTATCTCAACTTTTACCAATTTAACCTGATTGCAGTACTCTAATAGTGTATTACATAAGAGTAAGTTGAAGCCAGTATAATTTATGCATTCCAACTTCACTAGAATCTGGAATACCTTTGTCGGTTTTTTCTCTAAAGCAACAGCTCACTCCCTTTTTCCTCAACTCTTCACCCTCTCCCCCAACCCCCTTTTTAAGCAAATGTCATTCTGATTCTTTCCAAGGCTCATATTTCCTATATGCAAAACTTGAAACCATAAAACAAAAGCTTGCTTTCTCCACAGGTTCCTTTCCACAGGTTCCTTCCCCCAGCAAACAAGTTCAAAATCAATCTTTTTTTATATTCTACTTCATCTCTATTTGTCAAAAACATACAAGTAGGCTTTCACCTTCCACTGAGATTGCTCCTGCCAGAAACCACCAAGGTCATCTTTCTGTCTTGATCTTTACTGACCTTGTTACGAAACTTCATGTCATCTCTAAACTCTTCATGTGCTAGCTGCCCTACTTCTTCACATCTCCTTTTCTACTGCTTATACCTTAAATATTTTTAAAGGGTTTCCTTAGGCCATGTTTTTTTTTTCACACCTTTCTCTGAAAGATCTTATCTGTACAGCGTTTAATGTCTACCTTTCAAGGACTTCTCTATGGGCTTTCTACTGATAGCCATACTTACAGGCCCAACTACCTTCTGTTCTCTTAGACCAACACCATCTAGTAGAACTTTCTGAGATGATAGAAATGCTTGCTATTTTGTGCTGTCCAAAAGGGCTACATGTGGTTATCAAGCCCTTGAAATGTGGTTCATATGAATGAGGAACTTAATTTTTAATTTGTAGCCACATATACCTAGTGGCTACTGTGTTGGACAGTGTAGCTCTACATTTCACCTTTACAATGAACGATGTTACCATACATTTAGTAGACCAAACTAAAACCCTGGCCATTGCCCCTCAATTTCTCATCTGAGGTATTTCTATTTTAATTTATTGACTCTACACATTTTTCTTTATAGTTTACTTAGAATTAGCTTACTGAAGACCAAAATATATTATTAAAAAACCTTCTGGCTCCTGACTACCCAGGATCCAAATTCCAAGGCTTAAGATGACTCAAACCTACCTATCACTCTTCACTTCTAGCCTATGTACCAATATGTAGAACATACTCTATTCTGCCTTTGCAATGCTGATTCCTCAGAATTCCCCCAGAATCATTCAAGAGCCAAGTCAAATACCATCTTCCGCTTTCTCCTATTCTCTAGTCAATTTCTCCTATTCTCTAGCTCCTATTGTTCATACCCTCAATACAGCTTTCATTTCATTGTTCTGAATTACATCTCTCCTTCTAGCTTTAAGTTCCTCTAGAGCAAGGAGCCCTGTTTTATCTTTTCAACTCCTCCCAGCTTAAGACAGTAACATGATAAATGAATGATGTTAACATGACCTTAATCCCCATGTTTTGGGGGGGGGAACTAAGGGATGTCTCTACACATTTCTTTAAACCTTAGAGAAGTGCAAGACACCAAAGAAATTGATGAAACTTAGCCCCACAGGTGAGACTTGTGTTTTAGGGCACTTCAGGCATGCTAATTAGATTATTTAACATGTTACTGAGGACTCAATATTATGTTTTGGTGCCAGATATGGAACACTGGTACCCTGGTATGATATAAAAACTAGATGACTCATTAATCAACTGTTACTTGGAAGGATATATTTTTGTTAGAACAACATTCCTTTTTTAACTGTTCTAGCAAAGATGAGGTTAAAAGTGGGAAATGGAAGACAGTATACACCCATGAGATAAAAGTCTAAACCAGTTAAATATTAAAATTAATCTCAATGCAAAACAACAGATTTACAGGAGTATTTATTGGCAATAATGCATTTCCCAATATGGTCCAAGATCTCTTCTAGGAGTGAGTCTCAAGATGTTCTGAAGTGATTGCACAGAGATGATCTTTTGAAGGGGAAATGAGCCTGACAATGCTTTTTTATGTGAAGAACAAATAAGGTAAGATGGTCTGTAATATAACTAGATGCCTAACTGCAAAAAAATTAGCTGCTGCCAGATTCTCAGCAGTTCTTGTAAAGCATGGACCACCTAAGAAAAATAGCAAGTTCTTTCTCTGTTCCTCTCTACATATTTTCTCTGTTTCTAAGAAACCCTGTATTTAAAGGATCCTTTTTCTTCATAGTACCTGTTTGATATCATTTTACTTCCCCTGGTCTCAAAGGTGTCCCTAGACTCCTCTCCTCTCCATGCCAATCTCTATAGGCATAATAGTAACAGTTTATGCCTGTAGTTTGTTATGCTTCAGGATCTTTGTGTATCTATTGGTATCCTTTGCCTGAAAGGGTTGCCAGGGGTTCTCCTACACATCCCTCAAACTTCTCATTGAGAAATCATTCTTTGATTTCTCCAGACTATTTAGAATCCTCCATCACATATATTTACAGCACACTATATTTTTTATGAGACTGGTCATATTATAAAACTTAAATAGTTACACAGTACAGGCATACCTGGTTTTACTGCATTTCACTTTATTGTGCTTCACAGATACTCTGTTTTTTACAAATTGAAGGTTTGTGGCAACCCTGCTTCAAGCAAGTCTATCAGTGCCATTTTCCCAACAGCATTTGCTCACTTTGTGACTCTGTGTCACATCTTGGTAATTATTGCAATAGTTTAAACTTTTTCATTGTTATTATTACTATATATGTTATGGTGACCTGTGATCAGTGATTATGACTCACTGAAAGCGCAGATGATGGTTAGCATTTTTTAGCAATAAAATACTTAATTTAGGTATGTACACTTTTTTAAAGATCTAATGCGATTGCATACTTAAGAGACTATAGTATACAACATTGTATATTAACTATATGGGAATTAAAATAAAAAAACTTAAAAAAACAGACTATAGTATAGTATAAACATAACTTTTATATGCACTGGGAAACTAAAAAATTCATTTGACTTTGTTGTGATATTCCTTTTGCAGAGTTCTGGACTGCTGCAATCTGAGGTATACCTATTAATGTTTGAACTCCATGGTAGATTTTTAAGTTTTTGCTTTGACAACTCAGACCATTTCTAACTTATAATGCTAAATCCTCAGAACTTCGAATGCTGCCTGGCATATAACAGGTGCTCAACAAACAGTTGTTGAAGGAACATTTAATGAGGCAAATACTGTATCTCCATTTTAGGGATAAGGAAGCTGAAGTATGAAGAACTTGCTCAATACGGCCCCACTACAAAGTGGGGAAGTTGATACTTTGTCAAAAACTTATCTGCCACACAGCCCTGAGATCTTTAGTTTTTTTATGAATCTCTCCTCTCACAGTAACAGTTTATGCCTATAGTTTGTTATGCTTCAGGATCTTTGTGTATCTATCTGTATCCTTTGCCTGAAAGGGTTGCCAGGGGTTCTCCTACACATCCCTCAAACTTCTCATTGAGAAATCATTCTTTGATTTCTCCAGACTATTTAGAATCCTCCATCACATATACTTACAGCACACTATATTTTTTATGAGACTGGTCATATTATAAAACTTAAATAGTTACACAGTACAGGTACCTAGCTAGCTGATTAAGAATAGTAGTAAGAGGAGTGGTGTAACAAAAAACCTAGCTAGGACCTCTGAAACGAGAAGGAAACTCTTGGGGTCCAAAGGAAGTGAAGAAACTTTAGTGACCGTTAACAAATGGCATCTCAAGGGCATTTTAGAAAAAAGGAGAATGAAAACACTTGTAAAGAGGATTCCAGTCTTGTAGGAAAAGTGGGGGATCAATTCTGAACCTGCCACTCAATGCAGTGTTGTTTCTTGTAGGGAATGGTGCACATCACTCATCAAGAAGCACACTTTTCTTAGCAGGATAGAGAGGATGCAAACACAGTGTCAGCAGTCAGACTTCTGGGTTTGGCTCCCAGCTATATTACTTATTAGTTAGGGGGCTCTTTGGGAAGTTTCTTAACCTCATTCTGCCTCAGTTTTCTCTTCCATAGAAATGAGGACAATAAGTACTTCTATCAAAGTTGATGGGAGAATTAAAATATAATTAAAATGCATAGGTCAGCAGCTGTCCAAAGTAATCACTTTATAAACATTTGCTATTTTATTATTTTACAAATGACACATATAAGCTTGATCTATTTTTTAAAAAAATAGGACATGAAAGGAGTGAAAATTAAGAGAACTTAGCTTTAGTATTTGGAAGGCCTGGACCCTTAGGAAGCCATCTATTGATAAACAATGAACAGAAATATCATATATGCATAACTGACATAAAACTGGGAGATGAGATTTTGGCATTGGAAAACATATACACACATATTAAAACATGTGCCTTTCTTCATTTTAGTCAAGCTGTAATCTGATTTTACTGACTTAAGTTTCCTGGAACCAATGGAGTAGTGAGAAGAGAAGGCCCAGGTGTGCTTTATGATGGACAGTTAATAAAGAAACAACTCAGGGAATCTTCACAATTGTCAAATGGCAGACACTCCCAAATTCTATCACTTAGTAATACAGAATTCTGGCTATATCTTGAAACTACCTGGCCTTTTTCACTTCTACTAAGATAAAATATGGACAAAGTATGTCTCCAATATTTTACCTGTTTTAGCAAAAATACTTTTCTGCCTTTTTTCTTCCCTTTTAGAAGATAGGAGGGTAGGATATTTACTCTTCAGATGTGCTTGCTGAAGCCAGGCTTAGATATTTAAATGTTCTAACATTATTAGTTGGCCAATTGGATTTGCACTGAACTCTCAGTACAAAACAAGCCTTATTATAAATCTACATTTATTTCATAGCATACTGATTAAGAATCCTGATTCTGCTATTTATAGCTAAGTGTCTATGGTCAAGTTAAGTTACTTAAAGCCTCTAAACCTGTTTTTGTAGCTGTAAAATGAGAATAACAACAGCACCTACCTTATTATAGGATTGTGTGAGGGGTGAATGAGAAAATTCATGTGAAGCTTTGGATCTTCTGCATAGCATAAACCACTCAAATGTTAGCACAAATCATTGTTATGGTTAGTATACTTAAGTGACTTATATCACCAGTCAAAATGATACATTGTTTCACATAATGGCCTTATTAACTAGCTATTAATAAATTAACTCTTGGAACCTTACCATGGTTAATTTGAAAAGTTAAAAACACATACTCAGAAAATCATAAAAGTTCAGCCATTTGGGACTGCACACAGTAAGATAAACCACTGTAGTACTCAAATTTATTTTTACCCACACAACCTAATGCTTTCTTTTTAAATATGTCCATCTTAATAGAAGAACTGAACTTGGATAGACATAGTCCTACCTCCAAATCTTCTTCTTCATCAATCTTTTGTATGTTTTGGTAGGCAGCAGTGTAGACCTCTAAAGCTTTGCCATGAAATAACATTTCAATAGTGATAAATTCTGAAAATATAGTCTAAAAAAAAACCAAAGATTTGAATTTAAACAATCATATGAATTTGTGAATTTAATAGTCTTGGCATTTTATGAAATACAGAGGTATCTCTTTTTCCACAGGGCAAATGAAGTACGAAAGATAACGGGAATAAAAATGGTTGCAAAGACCTTTTACTGCACAACCTTGGAAATTATACAAAATATTTCCTATCTGTCCATTTACTTCCCTCTTATTTTTTAAGTTAGTTTTTGTATACCTTGTAATTGACATTTGTGATAAAAAAAGATCTGACTAAAATGTATATACCATTATGTACTACTCTGTCACCATATGTCTAGAAGTATTAGATAAAGCAGGTCAGTTCTAAACCTGGTATTTTGTAATTCCAACTGATGTTTAAACAATAGAATGTTTTTTAGACAGGAATTATATGCCATCATATTTCTATGTGTTCTTATATTCTCTAACCACAAAGGAATTACTTGGTAATTATATTGTTACCACTGATAATAGCACCATGGATTTGCATAGAGCCTTCCAGTTTACAAATATATAACTTGCCTAGTGTTGCTCACAGCTAGAGTGTTGAAACTTGGGTCTGATTCTTCAAAGGTTACAGTTCTTGCTTATTGTACTGTGCTATTCTTGCTGGAATCAATCATTTCTTTCACAAATAAACTGCACGTAAACCCTATGAACTTGATAATTTATGACAAGGAAGATGATGCACTAAGAGAATGAATGAAGATGTACTTGTTGATCTAAGCAGGGGCGAGATAATCAGTAGGTAAGGAAAGGATACAAACCAGACAAGTTTTCAATAAAATAGGATCTTATCCTTTTATTATTTTGTTCCTTATCAAAAAAAAAACTCAGAGCATTAAAGTAGAAAGAAGTGGGCAGAATAAGAATAAGGTAGAAAATACTCAAGCACTGTCCTTAAAGCAGCAAGAGAGAAGAGATGGGTTATAGAAGACAAGAGTCAAATATCCATTTCTCTTCATTCCTGCTGTCCTGTGTTTACCACCCAGATAGGAATGGTCCTGTACTTTGGAAGACAGTGTTACAGTTACCCCTTAGTGTCCTTTAATTCTCCCCACCTCCATCTCCATTCTTAAGGATTAGAAGAATATTTAAGGGAGTACTAACAGGTTTCTGATCACTACTCAATGTAAACAGATCTGTAGTAGAAAAGTATCCCTTCTGGTCTGCAAAGATTGGGCTCTGGGATAAGACACAACTATGACTCAACAGTGACCCTTACTGTCAATTCCTGTAGGTCACAGAGGATTCTGGCATACTGCAGTGGCAACTAGTAAGCAGCATTATGCCCAAGAATCTCCAGATATCCAGGAAATACCTTCGAGGTGAATTGGCTTTTGATTAGGACTGGGACTCACAGACTCACTTAGTTGTCAATCTTCCTAAGGTAGCTGCCTAGCTAGAAAGGAGTCAAGTGCCCTTTAGGTGTGTGGAAACTCCTAGAGGGAAAACAGCAGAACTAGGAGTCAATGATAAGCCAAAATACTGAAGACTCCTACTTCGTTCTTGGTCTGCAGCTCATTTTAGGTAATGGGAACAATCAAGCACAGGCTTACATCTTTCCTTCTGAATCTTAAATTTAGAGATTTTCTACATTTAGTAAATAAAGAACTATATAAAAAACTATAGACATAGTTTGACTTTATTTTTGGAACAGAAAATTTTTTCATTTACTTAGGCTTAGAATTATACAATAAACCCTTAAACTTGTTTCAGGTAAGTACAGAGGGAGGTTGGAGAAGCACATTTTACAGTGTTACATAGTCAACTATGTTTTAGTTTTTCTTGGATATTTACAGACCATCTGTTTACTTATATGGATAGAGAAGGTATTTACCTTATGCTATAAAAGTACCTGAGAAGTAAAATAGCCTCAAATAAGGGATTAAGCTTAATCACTTAAGTGAGTTAGGTGTTACTCCTATTTTTAAATATTTCCACAAATGACATTCTAAATCTTTAATAGATACACTATTTAGTAACTAGTGAAATCCAAACATTTACAACCTTATTACACCTAAATCTGTAGATTTAGGCTTAATTCAGTTCTATTCCACTGTGGTAATTCTGTGGAATATGTGAATATTTTAAAATATTTTTCAAATATGTGAATATAGTTATTAAATTTCTGATGGTCAAAATCTCTGTGTCATCTCTGAACTAACAGTTATTTAATACTAGCATTTTATAGGATTTCTATTCCCCTTAGCTCATAAGCCCTGAAAAATATGTAGATATGTCTGTCAATACATTATTTTTCTTTATTCAGATCCTCTAATTAGAGAAACTACTACATTCTCATTTTAAGACACTGATCAACTTTTAGTCTGTAACCATTTTCCAATCTCAAAATTTAGCTTTAATTAGTGATAAGTACTTTACAAATTACCTTTATAAATGGCTATTATTTACTACTTGGAAGGTGGGGGGAAATCACTCTCAAGTTTTGTGAAACTTTGGTTTAATCCTCTATGGTTTGAACTTTTATTGCTTGACAAAACCTTTATTATAACACCTAAATAAGAGAAGAATGGCTCTACTGATTTTTTATACTGTTTATTTTTGTCAGAAACAGTAGTGGGAAATCAGTAGTACTGGTAATCTAGTATCCCAGACTTAAGAATTTTTGGCCCAAGAGTCGATGAAGCCTAAAGATTATCACAGAGGAGAGTTATATCCCTGAGTATAGTCAGAAAAGAATACTGCCAATCATACTCTTTCTAGTTAGAATTTCATAAAATATCCGAAAATAGGCAGAAGGAGAATAATAACAAGGAACATTAAAAGTTAGATGACAACTAATATAAGAAAGAATATAAAAAGCATGTTTTTGAAATAAAATATTTTCAGTGAATGACCAGAAGGGTGGTAGAACTTTCTAGGAACCAATCATATTTAGAAATAATTTTCCTCAAATAATACAGCTTTCAGTGATCTCATATAATCTTATCTGGAATGGGTCAGTATGATCGGGGACAGAAGCATTAATGATTTCTTTTTTTTCCCCTTTTCAATTTTATTTTGTGTTACCAGAAGGCAATTTGGGTACATACTTAATTTTTATTGGTGGGGGATGAGGGAGCTAATCTGAAATTCTTACCCGTTGGAAGTATTCTGTGAAGCAGGAGAGTATAGTAGTTAAGAATATAGGCTCTGGATTAAGATAAATCTGGGTTCCAATCATGACAAACATAAGAGCTATATAATATTAAGCAGTTTATATAATATGTTCTTTTCCCTAGTTTTTCTCATCCTTACAATGAGGATAACAACAGTACCATCCTCATAGGTTTTGGGGTTAAGGGCTAAATGAGATAATCCAAGAAAAATTACAGTATGGTAACTGGTTTAGAATAAGTGCTCAAAACAAGTTAGCTATTTTTATTACTCGAGAAGTACACTTGCTAGGTTAGAAAATGTTTCTTTTCCTAATATTAAAGCCTCCATTGGATTTAATTAGCAAGTAAGACTTTTGACCAAAAAGTCATAAAAGGTCTAACATTTTGGCAAGTAAAGGGGAAATAATGGTTCTCCAGAATAGAGGCTATTCAGTAAATGATGTCAAGAGAAATTTTATCTACTTGAAGAGAATGAAATTAGATATCTACCTCATACCATATGCAAAACACAACTACCAGATAAAATGCTTAAATTTTTAAACTTTTTTAGATATCACAAATACTAGAAGAAAATATAAGCAAGTATTTATACAAACTTAAGGATGAAAACAACCTTTGTAAGCATGACACCAAGTCAGAAGCCAAAAAGGAGAAGACCAACAGATCTGGCAACAAAAATAAAACTTTAAGGCAAAAACACACCATAAACAAAATGGGAAAATACATTTGCAACATATCTTCTCTTTAATATAAGGGGTTAATTTTCTCAATATAAAGACTTTACAAATTCATATGAAAACTACCAATATTCAATAAAAATAAAGGCTAAGGACAAGTGTGGGTAATTTATTAAAGAAGAAATGTGTCATTATTAAATATATGAAAATATTCCGTCTTAGTAGTAACTGCAAATTAAGATGACACTGATTCTTTCACCTGTCAGATTAGTTATTATTAAAAATACTGCTACTCTTCATTAGTACACTGGGTTACTCATGGAAGGTTTTGTAGAAATGCTAGTTAAAATTTTGTGGACATAAGTTTAAAGCTTTGTGGACAGACAGTATCAAAATTTAAAGGGTGCATGCTCTTTGAATCCGAAATGCCACTCTGGTAATTTATCTCAAAAGAATAACTGGATCAACAAAAAGGCCAATGTTTAATGATGCAATGAGATTTATAATTGCAAAAGTAACCTAGATATCCACCAATAAGAACTGGTTAGATAAAGTAATATATCCACAGGAAAATACTATGAGGATACCAAAAAGGATGATATGCGTCTCTGTTTCTTAGCAAATATGCCCATGATCTATATTAAATTTTAAAAAATGATGCTACATATAGTGTGGTCCACTTAAATATAGCTCTATGTATAGGGGAAATGCTATTCTCCTCATAAGGATGCTGTGAGGAGTAAATGAGTTTATCCACATAAAATGCATATAAGATGTGACATAGTCAATACCTAAGAAAATCTGTTGTCGTATCTATTGTGTATATGTGCATAGAAAAAAAACTGGAATGATATAAACCAGAATGTTAACTGATTATTTCTGAGTAGTAGGATTACTACATTTTTCTCAATAATTTTGTGAAAAAAATTTATGGTGATTTTATATTTAGTTGTAAGAAAAATAAAGCATTTAAAAATTAAATTTAGAAGATGTTTCTTGCTCACATTAGCTACTTTGCCACATACTGCATTCCTGTCCCTCTCTGTTCCAGGAGTGACCTTGACCCCTGGTCAAGATCTTTTCTATAGATCTGAAATTCCCTTGACATTCACCCTATAACTGATGACTTTTCCGATTACATGGGAAACAAATGGGACTGTGATTTTTTTTTTTTAAGAGAGAGAGGAGGAGGAATGAGCAGGGGGAGGGGCAGAGAGGGAGAGAGAGAATTTTTAGCAGGCTCTATGCCCAGCATGGAGCCCAGTGTGGGGCTCCATCTCCTGACCCTGGGATCATGACCTAAGCCAAAATCAAGAGTCAGGATTTTTTTTTTTTTAAGATTTTATTTATTTATTTGAGAGAGAGAATGAGATAGAGAGAGAGCATGAGAGGGGAGAGGGTCAGAGGGGGAAGCAGACTCCCTGCTGAGCGGGGAGACCGATGCGGGACTCGATCCCGGGAATCGATCCTGGGACTCGATCCCGGGACTCCAGGATCATGACCTTAGCCGAAGGCAGTTGCTTAACCAACTGAGCCACCCAGGTGCCCAAGAGTCAGGATTTTTAACTGCTTAACCGACTAAGCCACTCAGGCACCCTAGGGACTGTGATTTTTCATTCACATTGTGTACAATACATTCCATAACAACTTTTCTCAGAAAGACAATTTTTTTGCAAGGTTCCTATGAAAAGTATCTAAAAATTGTGCTACCTTGCTGATTAATGCTGCTACCAAAATTCAGATGGACTTGTAAATTAAACCCACCTCGAACACAGTAGTACAGTTACCAGCAGTGCTCACTCATTTCTGCCCCCAGGGAGGTTAAGGAAGGAGCCAGAAGCTCCGTTCCCATCTGAAGCAGTAGCCTGATAACAGATGTTTCTCTCAAAATTATGAGTGGCATCAATGATTTTTACTTTTCTAAGAATTTTTCTCATAAACAGAAATGTGAGACATGTTTAACATGAACAAAGGGGGACAATAATGTTAACTCTTTTTGACTTGTCTTTGAGGCTTCTGGTATGGGATTTGTGCATCCTTCTTTATCATAAAGGATCTCAAATGAGGCCTGACTTGGAAAAGAAACAATTTGATACTGAGGAGGAAAGATGTATAAAAGGGGAGATTCAGAACCGTTAACAGTTCAAATTCAACCTCTGGAAACCATTTCTGGAAGTTTGCTAGATCATGGGGGTCTGCATTTAAAGTGTGGGTTGTCACAGATGACATAATCTTGTGAGTAGAAAATCCTAAGGGATCTACTAAAAAACTATCAGTGCTAATAAATGAGTTCTGCAAGGTTGAGAATATAAGATTAGTGTGCAAAAATAAATTATTTCTGTGTGCATTTACAATGAACAATCCAAAAATGAAATTAAATAAACAGATCCATTTACAATAGCATCAAGAATTACAAAATACTTAGGAAAAAGTTTAAGAAAAGAAGCATAAAACTTATATTCTGAAAACTACAAACAGTTGAAAATATATTAAGGAATATTTAAATAAAGTGGAAAAATATCCCATGTTCACGGATTGGAAAAATTAATTTTAAGATGGCAATACTCCCCAAACTGATTTACAGATTTGATGCAATCCCTACCAGAATCCCACTTGACTTCTTTATACAAACTGACAAGCTGATTCTAAAATTCATACAGAATTATAACAGATCCAGAATAGCAAAACAATCTTTTTTTTTAACTTTTTTTTTTAAAGATTTTATTTATTTGAGAGATAGCACGAGAGGGAAGAGGGTCAGAGGGAGAAGCAGACTCCCTGCTGAGCAGGGAGCCCGATGTGGGACTTGATCCCGGGACTCCAGGACCATGACCTGAGCCGAAGGCAGTCGCTTAACCAACTGAGCCACCCAGGCACCCCAGAATAGCAAAACAATCTTAAAAAACAAAGGAGACCTCATACACCCTGATTTTAAAATTCATATAAAGCAATGCTAATGAAGATAGTGTGGTACTGGCATAAAAGGAGAGACCTATAGATCAATGAAAGACAAAGTCCAGAAATAAAACCATTTCAACAAGAGTTCCAAGACTATTCAATGGGAAAGAATAGGTTTTTCAACAAATGGTGCTTGGACAACTGGACAGTCACATGCAAAAAGATGAAGTTTAACCTTCAGTTCACACCATACATAAAACTTAACTCAAATGGATCAAAGGCTTAATTGAACCAAGAAAACTATACAACTATTAGAAGAAAGCGGATAAATCTTCAAGATCTCAGATTTGGCAATGGATTGCTAGATATGACAAAACATAAGCAACAACAAGAAAAAATATATTGGACTTCATCAAAATTACAAATTTTCTGCTTCAAGGAACACCATCAAGATATTGAAAAGAACCCTAAGAATGGGAGAAAATAATTTCAAATCATAGATCTGAAAAGGGACTTGTATCCAGAATAAAGAACTTTTACCACTCAATAATAAAGACAACTCAATTAAAATATGGGCAAAGGATCTGAGTAGACATTTCTTCAAGGAAGATATACAAATGGCCAATAAGCATTAGTAGGGAAATGCAACTCAAAACCACAATGAGATACCCACTAAGATGGCTGTACTGAAGAAGTCTGATGAACAGCAAGTACTGGTGAGGATGCAGAAAAATCTGAACCCTCATATTACTGGTGGGAATGTACAATGGTGCAGGAAGTTTCCCAAATGATTAAAGATAGGGTTACCATATGATCCAGCAATTTAATTAGATATATATGTAAGAAAAATGAAAATATATGTCCATACAAAAACATACATGAATGTATCAGTCACAATAGCCCAAAGGTAAAAACAACCCAAATGTCCATCAACTGATGAATGGATAAACAAAATGTGGTTATATCCATATAATGGAATATTTGGCCGTAAAAAGGATTGAATTACACTGATAGGATACATGCTATGATACAAAAGCATGTATATAGCTAATATGCATATAACATACATATATATATATATACAGCTAATAATGAAAGCATGCTAAGTGAAAGAAGCCAGTTATAAAAATCATGTTATGATTCCATTCACATGAAATGGCCAGAATAGCCAAATCCATAGAGACTTCAGATTAGTGGTGGTTACTTAGGGCTGGGAGGGTTGGGGTGTGGGAAGCAGCAAAGTACTAGGTCTTACTCTGAGGTGATAACAGTGTTCTAAAATTGAGTGGTATTGGCTGCACATATTGGAACACACTAAAGACCACTGAGTTGTACATTTTAAATGGGTGAATTGTATGGTGTATGAATTCTATCTCAATTTATTAAGAAGTAGGTTTCTTCTTGTCTTACACTTTTGGTGACCACCAAGAGACTTCCTTCCAGGGGCATAATATGGTAGGCAAAGAGAAAAGCTTGAAAGCCTCTTTCTTCTTTGTGCACCCTCCACTCTGCAGTCACTCTATGTCCTAATGCTTCAGGAAATGTAGGAATTGCAGTTGGGAATTCTGCACTCACTCACTCTCTGCCCATTTTGTAACTGGTGGTTGCTCAGGGAATTAAAAGCATCTGTAGAGGTAGTCTGAACCTGAAGTGAGCCCGAAGATCAGAGACACAGACTGCCACGTGTAAAAGAAAATTTTGTAGGCCTTGAGGAGCAGTGGTAGAGTGAGGAATCAAACTGCCACCACTAACGAAGCCCTTAGGTGGCAATGGAATCAAGCATACCTCACAAGTCTCCATTCTCATAGTTCAGGTTAAAGCTAATTATTTTAATAACCTTTCTTTCCCCCTCAATTTAAGAGATGATGTCAGCAAGTGTAAAACATTATATCCCACCCACACTCTTCCACCTCAGTAAATGGAGTTTGTCTCAGGGCAGCTTTCTGAGATGCTCTTCATGCATTACACAGCAGAGTGCAAAGTGAATTGAGAGGCTTTAAAAAAAGGTTTTTGGTCTTCAGGACCAAACTAGAGACCTTTGAGCATGGCTATCAGAAAAATCAAAGTTCTGAAATTGTTTGAAACTATGACAGGGGGGCGGTAAAGGTGCAAATGAATGTTGATTCATGGACTTTCAAAAGGAATGATGATTATTAAGTGGCATATGGTGCTTATTTTATTGATAAGAACATAACTTTTGAAAGCAGGATGTTTTCTTTGTTAATAGTTATAAAATGACAAAAATATTTTTCTTTAAAGCTTGATCCCGGAAAATTTTCAGTGAGCCAAAACACATCCTAGATGACTTGTTTTAAAGGACTTACTATGGTCACAAGCAATCCTCCAAATCTGTTCAGGTGCCTATGAAAAAGTCACTGAAGACCTTCTGAAGTCCATGATCCCAAAGGCGTCAAATCTACTGGCTTTTTACAATAAAATAAGGCAATTCTTGTGATACCATATCATGGTGGATGCAACTTTATGTGGTTGGCTATTCTCACCTATTCATTTATTCGATAAGATGTAGTTACTAGAGAGTACTTAATGAGAGTGTATTATAATGGAAAGCACAGATTTTTAAAATACATAACTGTTTATAGTTCAGATTTTTGGCTATGATACTATGGGTAAATTACTTTATATCTCTGCTTAAATTTCATATAAGATGTATAACACCACCTCATTCTTATGAGGTTGCTATAAAGATTAAAAGATAATACATATTTGGTGCCTGTAACAGCACTGGATGCACAAAAACAATAAATGTTAGTTTCCTTTGACTAAACAGTACTTGTGATAAGTTGGATATCTGAGGAAATGGGAAAATAACATTTGATATTTCTTATTTATAAGTATCTTTTTCATATAGACTATGGGCTAAAAAATTTAGTAATTAAAATTTTTCATACATTTAAATAAAACAGTAACATTAGAAAACATGTTTTGAACTTTAAGTTACTTTATTACCTTTATATCCTTTATTTTCTGCTTTTCAAAATTGTCAATAGTTTCCTCCAGATGACGAGTTGTTCGAGTAGCATCCATTGTAGCTCTCTGCAATTCAGTTTCTGCCTGCAAAAGAATTCCCCAACCAAAGACATAAAAAAATTCAGGTTAGAATCCATTCAACTGAAGTCTGTTTGTAAATGTTACCATTGCACTACTGGCTTTTTGGCATAACAACTGTAAATTGTTCAATAATATATTTTACCATATAAAATAAGATGATTTATATAATAAGCACGTGCAGAATAAAGAACTTTAAATCTATTAAGTGACATGATTCCTGACCTCACATGAAAGAAAACAAAACTCCTTCCCTTTCTTCCTACAAAACCATTTTTTCCCCTGTATTACCCTTTGATTATTTACTGTAAAACAATTTTCTATATTTTCTACTGTTTTCACCTATTTCACTGTCTATGCCATTTATCATTCTCTTCTTTTTCTTCTCATTCTTTCCCCTTTAACACTTTCTCTCCAAAAAAGGACCCATGACCTAAGTATTTTCAATTTTCTAGTTCTCCAAATGCATTAATGTTTCTAATCTTTTTTTTTTTACGATTTTATTTATTTATTTGAGAGAGAGAGAATGAGAGATAGAGAGCATGAGAGGGAAGAGGGTCAGAGGGAGAAGCAGACTCCCCGCCGAGCAGGGAGCCCGATGCGGGACTCGATCCCGGGACTCCAGGATCATGACCTGAGCCGAAGGCAGTCGCCCAACCAACTGAGCCACCCAGGCGCCCTAATGTTTCTAATCTTATAATATCCTAATCAGATATGGCAGAATATACACTATAAATATTTATTTCAGCATGGGGTATATTTGTATATTCTTCTTAGAAGCTAACAATATTACACTGTTACCATTTAGTTAGTGCTTAGTACAAAAAATATACCAGTAACAAATTAGATGACAAGTCTAATGCTTTGCTTCATATATTGTATTGACAACACTCACACTATTGTATAATCAATATGGTGGCCACCAGCCACATGTGGCTATTTACATTAAGATTAAATGAAAATTTAAAAACTATGTCCTCATTTACTCTGCATTTCAAGAGCTCAATAGCCATATATTGCTAGTGGCTACAGTAAAGGGCAGAACATTTCCAATCTACTCATGTATTTCTCTTAAAAAAGCATCTCTTACTTTAGAACAGTTGTTGCCCAAAAATATTTAAAATACTTTGTTAAACAGTAGAGGTTTAAAAAACATAGCCTAATTTTCTGATTAAATTCTTTCTAATAGTTTTGTTTCCTATACTAATGTAGTATATTTACTCAAAAGTATCAAATATCATCATTTAATAATTAATCCATGGGAAAAATGTGCATTTGTCATCAAAGTTTAGTGACACATATTATTCTGACATTTAGTCCTTGCTCTCAAGAAAAGATATAAATTGAAATAAGTAAAAGAGTTTACTATAAGGATCCATTTCTTGACACACCACTTTATTACCCACCTGTGACTGAAATTTTTCATAAAGGAAAAAATACATTTCAAAGAGAATATTTTAAAGTCAATTAAAATCATACGCTCACAGAATTATATAATCTTGCAATTATACATTAATTATAACTTCATAGTGATTATATACTCTTACATTTAGATCAACTCAAATGAACGATTTTAAGATACTAGGTGTAAAAGAATATTTTTATACGTGTGTGTGTGTACATTTGCCATATAGGGTGTAAAGTTTTTTAAAACCATATAAACTTTTAATTTTTAATCGTACCCAGTAATCAAAAATAATTTTCTATATTGCTGGGCTTGAGATTTTTAAAAAATATAACTTTATCACAGGAAATTCAAAAGTAAAATAGAGCTCCTTTAGATTCGTATGAAAAATTTCTAAGTTATTTGATGCATGTTAACCTACTAATGAGAATACGCAAGCAGACTAACTTCTTAATACTATTACATGTGACTCATATAGTTCTTTACTTGTGACTACTTCCTTTTGACTTATGTCTTTGCCCTCTCCATTTTATTGATAGTTTCAAACTTAAAGAAACAGTTTTAAAATTTAGATGCGTAGGCAGAATTGGCTAAACCAGGGGAGAGTGGGGAAGCAGAAACTACAGCTGGGACATCTTACTCTTCCACCACCCTCCAGCAACTACTATTCGTTTCTGAAAGTCTCAAATCCTTTTACTTAGGCATAGCAACTCACCCAAAATTACACAGCTATTTTTAGCAAAGAGGATATGCGTTTCTATTTCTTCTTTTTTTCTGAAAATTCTTCAAAATCCTATAATGGGTCAAGTTGAGTAGGAAATGCTTTTGATTAAGATACTATGATACAACTCTATGAGTAGAGATATCAGTGTATTTAATGAAATTAGTCCTGAATGCAAAAATGGTTTCTGAAACGGTGAGCCAGAGCCCTGAGATTCTTCTTTACCCCATCCTCTTGTATCAGTGCTACTCCATGTTATTTTACATACTGAACTTTAATAACATGCCTCTTTTGAATTGTCAGATGAATTTTAAGGGTCCATCCTGGTAAATATTCTGTAATGCTATGAGTAGATATTTTTATATTTATATTGAATACGTTTATATTTAGATTGTCCTTTATTTTCTATAATAGTCTTAGGTTGTCAAAATCCACTCACTTTCCCAGTGAGCACAGCAGTTCACCTACAGCAATAATCTATTCCTTTGTTGTATTTCCCCCCATGGGAACCCAATTCTAGTTTCATCTACAGTATAAGACTACCTCCTCCAGGGCAGTGTTCACAACAGACCATCTAAGTCAGAAACATCTTTGTCTTAGGAATATTCATTTCTGTGTTGAGTCTCCATACCAATACCCAATTCAATCCTACCAACCACTCAGGATTCCAGATGTGACATTTTTCCTGCCTTTATGTATTTTCCTCCAAACAAAACACTAAAAATTTTGACCTCTGACTTACTTCTTAAAAACTGGTGACAACCTGATCTCTCCCTTAGTCCCTAGTTGTCAGTCATAAATTTTCCATCATTCTCTGGTTTGCCTGACTTGCTTAAAACCCAGACTCCATAATCTAGTTGTAGTTCTTAAGCCTCAATGAGATGTTCCTGTCCCAGCCTCCAATGGGCAATTCCAAGCCCTATGGCTGCCCATTTTTGTTTATTTCAAGGTTGGGCATATGTACCTTTGGTCCAAAGGAGGACCAGGCAATTGCAGCCCGAAATCACTGCTCAAGGGATTCCCCTCAGGAATGGAGGTGCTCTGCAACTTCAAATGCCCCCATAGAGCCACTCCTCATGTGGTTTCTGGCTGAGCTGGGCAGTAAAAACCTTCAGGAAGTAGGAAGGAGACATAAGAAGGAATGGGAAAAAGAGGCAGCGGGATAAGTTAGTACTTTCTATATAATTGCACTTATCCCAGTTGCTGGCAATTAGGCACTATTTTCTATTCTTTTGTTGTCATGAACAAGGCACATCATTTTTTTTTTTTTTTAAAGATTTTATTTATTTATTTGACAGAGAGAGAGAGAGAGAACACAAGCAGGGGGAGCGGGAGAGGGAGAAGCAGGCTTCCCGTGGAGCAGGGAGCCCGATGTGGGACTCGATCCCAGGACCCTGAGATCATGACCTGAGCCGAAGGCAGACGCTTAACGACTGAGCCACCCAGGTGCCCCACAAGGCACATCACTCTTAACAGAAGAGCCTTGTTACAGTAGACAGCCCTATCTAGATCCTTTTGTGTCCAGCTATGAACCTCAATTTTACTCTAGAATCTCCTGAAGGTCTTTGGCTGCTAGTCCTAATTGTGGTTTCACATCGTTGTTGTTTTTGAAGGTGAAGGGAATTATACTGGGGAAAAATGACTCTTCCTTCCTTTTCTCAAAAGTAGGGCAGACAGGGCATTGATATATTGGATTCATGATAGATCTTTAAGTTAATTTTAAAATTAATATTCAGTCATCATGTGAAAAAAAACTCAGAATTCTGAACTTACTTTTTATACAAACATCAACGTTTTTAAGTGTTTTTTTTTAATATCTATTATGGAAAACAATATGAGGGGACTGAATTAGGTGGTGTATTCTCTTTAAAATTAGTTGATTTCTATAATGAGAATTTGTAAATGCATGTGTTTCTTTTCAACCTTTATATTCAAATTTTCTGCACATTTAAAAGCAAAAATGCGTAATTTCCATATATATTTACTTTTGTACAGCATACCTTACAAAACATTTTTTTAAAGATCAAAAGTCAAAGGATACAATAACATGTCGATCCGATGGGTTTCGCTGACGTGTTCTTTCTAACTGAGTTAACTGTTTAGCTTCTCGATTCCTTGCTGTTAGTGTTGCTTTGAGGTCATCCTGAAAATAAGCATTTTTGATTAATGAAAATCTCTGATAAATTGATAAATACACACACTCTGTTTTAAGAATGGGAAAACACTCCTTGTTTGGTCCAGGCATTACCAGTACAGGAATTATTACTGCAAAATTAGTGTGTGTCCTTGTGTGAGAGTGTGCACACGTGTGTTTAACACCCTCTCAAATAATGACACAGACAAGATAATTTCAATGCAAACCTTTAACCACATATATAATTTTATATACACACATATAAAATTTTGATTGTGGTGGTAGTTATATGTGTATATACATTTGTCAAAACTCAATGAACACTTAAAATGGGAGAATTTTATTGTCTGTAAATTATACCTCAAAGCTGGTTGAGAAAACAGAACTTGGGGTTGTAACACACAGTATGGTGACTATAGTTACTAACACTGTATTGCATATTTGAAAGTTGTTAAGAGTACATCTTAAAAGTCCTCATCAAAAGAAAAAAAATTTCTAACTATGTATGGTGATGTATGTTAACTAGACCTGTGGTGGGTATTTTGCAATATATACAGCTCCTGAATCATTATGTTGTACACTTGAAACTAATATGTCAGTTATACCTCAATAAAAAAATACAACTTTGTCATACTCACTTTTAGTCTACATGTTATTGCCTGCTTTAAAATGAAAAATATAATCTTATGTTCATTTAGTAAAATAAGTTCTTCATGACTATAAATATTAATATTTTAAAGTTTCTGAAATAAAGTATTGCTTCATGTTGCTATGGTTTACTTAGTAAGCTCATTAAAAATATTTCATTATTCTCAAAGTTCTAAGAAATGATGCTTCACAGAGTGTGTAAAAAAACTGTATAAACTACGTTGTACTTTTTATTAAGAGGACAGTTATTGGAAACATACTCTTTGCCATAATAGTTAATAATAGTAGGAAAAATGAATTTACTTACTCGTTTCATTTTTACAATGGTTCCATAAGTTTTCAAAGGTTCAACTACTTTGGCTTCAAGTCTTTCAACCTATTGAAAATTATTATAAAATATAACTGAAAAGAAACATAGACATATCAAAATTTAAATTCTGAAATAAAACCTGGGCTATTTAACCTGAACTTAATTATTACACAGAGTAATGTTTTAAAATGTTTAAAATGTCACAGTTTATAAGTAAAAGAATAATCACCAGCAATTGATAAAACTCAGAATCTAAACTCAAACACAATAAAAGCTGTTAAGATGTAGAGTAACACTGAAAGCAGAAAAGCACCTAGTATGCAATATGGCAAGAAAACATTTCAGGTTTCTAAGAAATTTATCTCTGTCACACGATCATCTCTGTATTATTTTTCTTCATTATAGTAGCTTTTGGGTAAGTTTCAAGACATCTCACATTTTAGTACAGCTACCAATTCAGTGTGTTTAGCATAGTTTCGGATATTTTACATATATTATCTCCGAAATGCAATAGTCCAACTTTCCAGGTAAGAAAATTGAAGCTGAAAGATACAGCATATTGGAAAAATTTAAAGCGACACAATCCTCAAAAGCAAAAAGAACTGTATTAGCTACAATCCTTTTCTGGGGAGCCATTTGTAAATTACCAAAGCTTGGAGAAAAAGATAAATGGTCTCAGTGTTGCTGAGCTGTCCAACTGCATGGTTGATCTTTTATTTAGAATTAAACTGTTTTTCTTAAACAGTACGATTTTTATCACATTTTGAGTAATTACTTCCTTTAATAGCACTAGTGGAAGGCACTGAAGAAACGGGCTTTTTAAAGGCAAATATAGCATAAGAAAAATAACTCCTGGACATTAAAATTTTCTTTATCAGGACAGGTAACACAAGATGACATTAATTGTTTAAAATGAACATATATTATTTTTGCAGCAGGAAGAAGCCTTTTTTTGATGATACATGTTTATATAGTACATTTCATTTCATATTGATTTTTCTATAAACAAAATGTATACGAATGTTTCACTTTAAAAGATTTTAGGAAAATGAAAACAATCTTAAGTTCTCATTGAGCATTTAAGTATTAGGAATCCTAAAATCAAAACCATGAATACTCAGGATAGTTTAGTCTATACCATTTCGAATAATCCATACGCTGATTATTCAGTGCAAGGATTATTCAAGTCTTTTTTTTCTGTTCTCCTTTTTTGTCGCCTACCTTTTGTTCATTGTTCATTAGCACCTCCACCATTTGGTAAGCAAGGGAAATAAAAAAGGAGAACAAATGTAAATCAATTCACTTTGCTATTTGATAAATAGCATAAAGTTTTTCTAGAAAGGGGCATTGAAATTATTGTCTTAACATAGGATTTTGGGTTATCAGTGAGTATATATTATTTTTGAAGTCCCCAGTTAATGTGTAACTGAGAGTTGCTTGTTTATTATAGAATATCATATGACAAGAACTCAACTTTTCCCAAAAAGTAGCCCAAATGTAATTAGTACTCAAATTTCTGTACGAATAGCAAGTACAGGTTCAAAGATCATTATCTTCACTTTGTTTTTGTGATTTTTTTTGACAACGGAAATTTCTGTATTAGGCTTTTAAAAAGTACCAAAAGCACTGATGAGAGGAGTACAAGAGAAGCAATACAGCTTCTAACTGGGCAACTTCTAACATTTAACCTGTATCTTGAGAACTAATATAAGTGAAGGTGCTTATGAGGTATTAAAAGTAAAAATGAGCTTTTAGAAAGAAAACAATTACAACACCACCTTCTTCCCTCCCTTCCAAAGCAAAAAAACAAAACAAAAACAAAACAAAACCACCCCACAGTCTCACTAGTATCTATGATATCAATCAGTAAATCAATGCTGCTTTTCTTTTTGTCAATGAAATATTGGTCAACTTTACAGAGCATTGAAGCAACAAAGATCTCTTGTCCATTTATTACTTATTCACTCACATTATGACTCTCAACATCTTCCATCTCCAGACATACTTTAAAATATACTTACGTGCACACAAGACACAAGTCATGCTCCTTTTCTTCCCCATGGGTACTATGTTTACTACCCCTGTAAATAGCCACCCCTTGGCCAAAAGCTGGCAAATGAAGTGGGGAAATTCAGGACTTCAGGACACCCTAAAGTTTAGTTTGAAAACGGTAAAATCACAAATCACAGGAAGCTTCCCTTTAATAGACTCACATAATGTTACATGAAAATGTACGTTTATCATCAAGTGTGCGTTCGCCACTTCAGTTAGGTGGATTACAAGTGAAAGTCTTCACGGGTCCTTCATCCACTACTTCAGGGCTCACTCATAACAATGACGCTGTGACCTCCATACCTCTGCTTGTCGATAATCCTGAAGTTTGGCAAACTCATCAGCAAAGTTTTTCAGGCCCTGCTTTAAATTCGGGGTCTCTGTAGAGGCATACACGTTGATTTCATTCACCAGTAGATCTGCTTTGTCTCGCAGTCTGGCGGTTTTCCGCACATAAGCAGCAAAGATTTGGCACAGCTCTCCGAAATGCTTCTCCACATTTGTGACAGCATCTTGCAGTTGTCTGGTTTGAGCGTCCCTAGAGAAAAAGATGACACAAAACGCAAATCATTCTCATGAGAGATGAGATGGCTTCATCTCCACGTTAATTTGATATGCAAACATTCCCGGGGCATTTTGCAGCTTCAAAGGCACAAACCATCAACGATCCCACCATCTCCGGGGGGCGGATTCTAGTCCTCTAGGTTCCCTTTTGGGGCCTGGCCTCAAGACCCCGACAGTGTAGGCGCACGAAGAGGCCAGGTTCTGGCCAGCCGCGCCGCTGCGGGCTGGCGGATGCTAGGGCTGCTTGGCGCGGCCTGGGCGCCCGGCTGCCTCCCAGCCGTCTGCACAGCCCGCGGCAGTGAGGGGCCCGGCGCCCGGGGAGCGTGATCCCCGAGATCGCCCATCCCACCCCTGGCCTCCGGGGCTCGCTGCAACCCGGGGGAGGTAGACCCCAGAGCGCAGCGGGCTCGGCCCAGACCCCGGCCCAGGGTCGCAATTCGGCACGGAGGCCCCACGGAGAGAGGCTCCACTTCCCCCACCCAAGCCCTCGCGTGGGGGGGTGGGGGTGGCCCTGGCCAGCGGAGGCCCCGGGGCTGTTACCGGTTTTCCATGCTGCGCCTCAACATCTTGCCTTGAGCACGGCCGGGGACCCCGATCCGGGCCCAACGACCTGGGCTCGGAAGCGCCCGAGCGTGCGCCGGGTTGCGAGCCACCGCCTCCTGGAGCCTGAGAGCCCGCCCCGCGCGCCGCCGCGCCGGCTCCGGCGTTTCTACGGCAACGCGGCGCGTCCCCGCGCTCAGGGCCCCAAGTCGGCGGGAGAGCGGCGAGGGGAAGCCGGGGGCGTGCGCCGCGGCGCCCAGCCCGAGCCCCTCCCGCGTGTTCGCCTGGCGCGTTCCTTCCCGCCGAGTGTGGCCGGCCGGCGGTGGAGGCCGGCGCCCGCTGGCGGGCCTTTCATCCGCGTGGAGAGCCGCGCTTACCAAACACTGCCTCCAGTCAGTCCTTCCAGCCTGGACTGTGAGCCAAGGAGGGAAAAAGCCAATCAACCAGTAACTAGGCGGGAAACGTACAACTAAAGGCCAATGGGGTCCAGTTACTGCTTCTGCGCCACTTAGCTTTGGAACATCTGCTCAGCGTGTCCGCTTGCCTGTGTGGAATCTGAAACTGTGGGCTCTTTGGAAAGCTGCCTTCGGTAAGAGCGATGCTTACCGTCTCATCTTGAACTTTTCATTTTTTCAGCAAATATTTGTTGAGTTCCTATTTTCTGGAAAAGATCGTGTTAGACACTGGACTATACAAAGATGAGAAGAAAGGACCCTCATCCTGAAGGACCTTAGAGTTCGGTGAGGTGACGACCACTTAAACTGTTGAACAGTACGCCCGGAGACAAAAAAAACAAGCAGGAGACTTTTCTTTTACCTTTGAGCACCCATGTTCTTTGGGCTCTTTTGGCCTTCCCTTGTGCTGCTCTTCCAAGTAAACACTGTTAGTACTAAATTCAAGCTTTCTCTCTCTCAAGAACTCTCTCTTGACCACTCACACATTTCTGTCTTCCTGACAGCGTTAGGGGCCTCTTCCTTGCTAGTGTACTTTCTTGATTTTGTACTGTCTCCCCCCTTAGGCTAGACTGGGCTCTTGGAGGTAGAGTAAATGTAATTTTGGTCTTATATTCCCCAGTGTCTTATGCTGATAAAAGTATGTTTTGGACAAATGGATGTCCCCAGTCGTTTGTTACCTCTCTTAGGAAACTTCCCTTATTCTCTTACGTTACAATGTATTCCTCTCTTCGCCCCCTTGCATTCAGTCAGCCAGTTACCTATCGAATGCCTGTTGTAGTCCGGATGCTATGCTGGGCTCTGAGCATGGAGTGGTAAACTAAAATCAGAACAGTCTTTGCTCCTGTAGAGCTCACAGTCTCTTCAGAGGGATAGACACTAATCAAATAAATACATGTAAAATTACAGAGGTATGTGCTACTGTATCTACTTTTGCTCTGTAATAAACCATGGCAAAACCTAATGGCTTGTAACAGCCCTTTGGCTAACTCAGCGTTCTGTGAGTGGGCTGGCGGGTTCTTGTATTTTGGTCTGCTCAAATGGGCTCTTTTATATCTTTTTGGTCATCTGTGGGTCAGCTGGTGGCTGGATGAGCTAGGACGGCGTCGCTCACAAATCCAGGGGTGGGAAGTCTGTCAGCAAGAGGCAACCTGTTAGTGACCGCTTTTGCAGTATAACGCAGGTACTAAGGAAAAGTGCGTGGTGCCAAGATAGCATATACTTAATATAGAAGTTTGGTTTGAACTAGTTGGGGAAAGTACTTCATTGAGAAAGTGACGTTTGACCTGAGATCCAAAGATTGGGGAGGGTTACCTAGGTGAAGAAGGAGGGAAAACCAGTCCAGAGAGAGGGACAGTATAGGCAGACTTCCTTCCTCCCACCCCCAACCCCATTCCCATCCACCCTAACTTCCATGTCTCAGAAAATGGAACTGCCCCCCCCCAACTGATTATTCAAGTCAAAAACCTTGGAATCATTCTTTCTTTTCCCCAGGCACGCTGACAATTTCCATCTATCCCACCTCCAAAACATATCCTGAATCATTCCTTTTTCATTTCTTCTGCATTACCATAATCCAGGCTACTATCATCATTCACCTTTACTGCAAACCCTCCTTGTTGGTCCCTCCACATCCACAGTTACACACTGCAGTGCAAAATAAAACACGTAGAAAAAGGCTGTCAACCAGGAAGAGGCTCTCACTGGACCCCGAATCAGCTAGTGCCTTCAGAACTGCGAGAAGTAAATTTCTGTTTTTTATAAGCACCCAGATTATGGTAGTTTTGTTTTGTTTTTGTTCTTGTGGGGGTTTTGGGGGGTTCTTTTTGTTTTTGTTTTTTGCTATAGCGGCTTAAATGGATTAAAACAGACTCCCACTATGCTTAAATTTTAAATCTTTACCCTGGCTATGAAGGCTGTATCTCATTCTTGCTTACCCATCTACTTTCACGGCCCCACTATGTTAGAGCTACAATATCTTTCTTTCTGTTCCTAGCATATATCAAGCTCATTTTATTTATTTTTAAAAATTTTTTATTTTTTTTAAGGATTGTATTTATTTATTTGCCAGAGAGAGCAAGCACAAGCAGGGGGAGCGGCAAGTCAGAGGGAGAGGCAGACTCCCTGCTGAGCAGGGAGCCCGATGTGGGGCTCGATCCCAGGACCCTGGGATCACAACCTGAGCCGAAGGCAGACGCTTAACCGACTTAGCCACCCAGGCATCTCTCAAGCTCGGTTTTGTGTTTGTTATTTTCTCTGCCTAGAACACAGTTCCCTCAAATTGTCACATGACTGGCCCCTTCTTATCACAGAATTCTGTAGGCACAGAATGAGGTTTTCTCTGATCACCTAATTATTACCATATCACTGTTTTGTTTCCTTTGAAGCACATGTCACTTCCTGAAGTTAACCTATTTGTTTATAGGCTATTTCTGTCTCCCATGACTAGAATATATTCTGAATGAAACTAGGCACTTTGCTATCTTACTCATATTATATTCTCTGCAGCACCAAAGTCCCTGATTAATTGTAGGAACTTAGTAATAGTTGAATTTATCAATGAAAAAATGAGTGAAAACCCTATGACAGTGAGAGCATGGTGTGTTTGAGGAAGTGGGAGAAAATTAATGAAGCTGGAGTGGGGGTGGTGGGCATGATGATATGTGATGTAGTTGGAGTGGTAGGGAGAGGTCAGTTCATGTAAGGCATTTTAGCCATGCTAAGGATTTGGTCCTTGCATTAGAGTTCTTCAGAGAAACAGAACTAATAGTATATATGTATATATACTAAATATAGTGTGTGTGTGTATATATGTTTTTATTATTTATCTATCCATCCATATGGTTTATTATAAAGAATTGGCTCATGTGATAATGGAGGCTAAGTCCCAAGATAAGCAGTCAGCAAGCTGGAGTCCCAGGAGAGCTGATGGTATGAATTCCAGTCCAAAAGCTGGCAGACAGAAGACTCAAGAAGAGCTGATATTTCTGACTGAGTCTAAAGGCTGGAAAAAAAAGCAATATACCTGTTTAAGCAGTCAGGCAGGAGCATTCCTTCCCCCTCAGATTTTTTTGCTCTAGTCAAGTCTTTAAATTGATTGGATAAGGCTTATCTACATTAGGGAGGACAATCTGTTTTACTCAGTCTATCAGTTCAAATGTTAATCTCCTTCTGAAACATCCTCACAAACACACCCAGCATAATGTTTGGCCAAAAGTCTGGACATCCTGTGGCCCAGTCAAGTTGACGCAAATTAAGGATCACAGTCCTTATCTTAGTATTGATGTGAAGGTATTTATATGTTAGAGCAACAGCTATTTATTTATCATGTAACTTTTAAATCTTTTAGCAAATGCCTCATGTAAAATTTTTGAAGAAATATATATTGAATTGTACTGTTTCAGCCTCCACCTAACATATGGAATGAATATGTTTTAGGAACCCTTCTCCTGAGCTCTGGGCCCCTCTTTGGTCTTACTTTCTTGTTAACAGACATTTCAAAACATGTATCAACATAATTGTTCTTAAATCTTTTCACTACTTGGAGGCACTTTTATATAGGCTATACTTTCTTCTAGTATACGTCATTCCATAGGAGAGGAGCTGGGGGCCTGAGAAGGCCAAGTGCTTTGGCCATGGTCACATGATGAAATAGTAGAGGAGCTGGAATTGTCCTTTATTTTCTCTTTCCAGCACTCTTTCCACTGTGCCAGGATCTCTCTAGATACAGATATCTCTCTCACATACACACCACACACATTATGATTTTTTGCAAAGTTCTTAAACAAATGGAAACATTAAATAAATTACTTTAAGTAGTCAGTGAATGACATTCCATATATGGACTAAGGAGAGTGTGTGTCAGTGATCAATTATAGGTGTATCCTTCCAAAATCTCTGGGAATTATTGTTCCAGGCTACAAGCAGTATAACCTGACTTTTCGTGGACTTTTCTTAAACTACTACATATTTTATCTTTATAGTGAAAATGGCACAATCTTAGTTTGCATAACATTGAATAAATTCCAGTTATTTAGGTTGGTTTAAGAAAGGTCCAATTGTCGCAAAGAGTTGCATGAACTTTATTCACTCATTTATTCAGCGCTATTTACTGAGAACTTGTCATGTACCAGGTGCTGGATTTACCATTCTTTAACCCAAGAGATCGCATAAAGGTGGAAGGAGACAGCTGTATACATAACTGGATCAGTTATTGAGGTGATGTTATAGTTCAAATTAGATTATTTTATTTAAGTTATGTTATTCTTTTTTAAAATATGAGCATGCATGTGGTTTTTTTAAATGTTTAATTAATTAATTTGTCAGAGAGAGAGAGAGCACAAGCAGGGGGAGCAGGAGGTAGAAGGAGAAGCAGGCTCCCCACTGAGCAGGGAGCCAGATGCAATGGGGGACTCCATCCCAGGACCCCGGGATCATGCCCTGAGCCAAAGGCAGATGTTTAACAACTGAGCTACCCAGGCATCCCATGTTATTCTTTTCTTAATCTTAGCTTTCTCCTCCCCTCCCGCCTTGTCCCATTTTAGAAATGAAGTAAGATGTTAAGTGAACGACCATGATATAGTGTATTTATTTGC